GAGAGAGCAGGAGGCGGAGGAGGTGGAGGAGGAGGAGGAGGAGGAGGATCAGGAGGAGGAGGAGGAGGAGGAGGAGGAGGTGGAGGAGGAGGAGTAGGAGGAGGAGGAGGAGGAGAAGGAGGAGATGAGAAGAGCTGGAGAGCAGGAGGGCCAGGAGAGCAGCTAGGACCTCCAATGGCCTCCGGAGGTCCCAGGGTCAGAAGCCCGCGGAGGTCCAAGGCGGGCCCGAAGCGTCGCAGATCCTCGTCGGCCTTCGGTCCTGCAGGCAATGGAGGCAGGATGTATCCGCTGCCCCAGCCCAGTCCCATCCTGGGGCCGGGAGCGGTGTGCACGCCCCTGTGGCTTGGCCAGGGAGGCATTCACATACGTCCGCAATACATGTGTGTGTATATATGTGTGGTTAACTTGTGCATGAGTGATGGGTGTACACATCTGGTGTGGGTGTTAGGTCGGGCCTGCCCCCTACAGGGGGATTCTCGACGAAAAATAATAGATACACCAAACATACTCAAAACAGTTCAAAACATACTCAAAAATAGTCCCCAGACTATTTTGGACCATTTTTGGAGTATTTTTGGGGTAGTTGCATTCTTCGTTGAAAATCCCCCTGTAGGGGGACAGGCCCGACTTAATGTTGGTGTCATATAAGACAGGTGTGCGTGTATCTATCCTGAGGCCATACATCATTGATTCATGTTCTAATAAACAAATCGTGCACCAGAGTGTGTACAGTAGATGGCGTAACACATATCATGCCATTTTACTGCATTGCGCTACATGGCATTCGATGCATTTTCTACGTCGCAGTTTCGGTACTATCTCGATTGCCAGTAATCTATGTTCGATACATCTATAGTTGTGTATGACTATGCATATGTAATGTCTAACACTGCATCGCACGGTAGGCGTTGTCTCAGGGCAGCCTTCTAATCCTCATTCTGTCTGGCATACCACCCCGGACAACGTCACCTGTTCCCTCGGCCGCTCCACAGAACGCTTACCCGGCACCACCCGATGCCGCCGTACGCCACACCCTTCAGCACGACATGCTGCCATCTGCTGCTCTGCGCCGCCCCCGTTCTCGGGGCGGGCCTGGCCGGGGGGCAGCGGACGCGTGCAGCCCTCGTCCTCCTCCTCCTCCTCCTCCTCCTCCTCCCTCTCCTCCTCGTCCCCTCCTTCTCCTCCTCCTCCTCCTCCTCCTCCTCCTCCTCCTCCTCCTCCTCCTCCTCCCTCTCCCCGCCTCCTCCTCCTCCTCCTCCTCTCCTCCTCCTCTCCTCCTCTCCTCCGCCCTCCTCCCCTCTCCCTCCTACACTCCTCCTCACTCCTCCTCCTCCTCCTCCCTCCCTCCTCCTCCTCCTCCTCCTCCTCCTCCTCCTCCTCCTACTCCTCCTCCTCCTCGCTCCTCCTCCTCCTCCTCCTCCTCCTCTCCTCCCCTCCTCCTCCGACTTCCTCTTTACTTCCTCCTCCTCCTCCTCCTCCTCCTCCTCCTCCTCCTCCTCCTCCTCCTCCTCCTCCGCCTCCTCCTCCTCCTCCTCCTCCTCCTCCTCCTCCTCCTCCTCCTCCTCGCGCCTCCAGACGAGCGCCGGCCACGGGCGGCGACGCGCGCGTGCGGCGGCGGCATCATCGCCGGGGCGGGGGGGGCGCCCAGGGCACCCCGCCGCACCACCTCACCACCGAGCCGGGCGCTCGAGGACGCGGGCGCGGTGCCGCCGCGGCCCCCCTCCTGCTCGGGACGTGTGGCCACTCCCGTCGGCTGGGGCGGAGCCTGCCTGGTCCTCCTGCACCTCCTCCTCCTCCTCCTCCTCCTCCTCCTCCTCCTTCTCCTTTTCCTCCTCCTCCTCCTCCTTCTCCTCCTCCTCCTCCTCCGCCTCCTCCTCCTCCGTCTCCTCTTCCTCCGCCTCCTCCTCCGCCGCGTCGTGAGATCACGGCGGGGAGTTTTCTGGCCGTTTTCGGCCTCCTGGGGTCCGCGCCGGGCCCCGAGACGGGCAGAAACCGATCCGGGGTGCAGAAACCCACCCTGGAGAGGGTCGGGGCTTCCAGGGACCGCGCACGGCAACGATCAAGGCATCGGATGTCTGGGTAGCTTGCTTTCGCGGGCCCAGCCCCCCCCCCTGCCCAGACCTCGGCCGACTCGAGAAGACAGCGTTTTGTCTTGTTTTGTTTTTCTGCTGTCTTCTTTCTCCCACAACTTTCTCAGTCTCTGGAGGCTGTCCTCAGGCTCTCGGGGCGTCACCAAATCAGCTGGGAGGAGAAGAGACCTGCCCCAGGGCACATGGGGAGGAGGTGGGAGCTTTCTGGAACTGGCGACTCCCAGGAACCTGCGTCGTCGGAGGCCCGGGTAGCGGAGACGACGACGGGGGCGAAACAGCCCAGGGGCGGGCACTGCGCGCATTCGTCCGGGAGCCCCGCCGAAGGCATGGACCATCGGCGCCGCTGGGTACACGTATTGCCCTCCCCTGGGCTACTCGCCCCCGTCGTCGCCCTCGATGGGCAGGGAGGGGACCTCCTCCTCCTCCTCCTCCTCCTCCTCCTCCTCCTCCTCCTCCTCCTCCTCCCCCTCCTCCTCCTCCTCCTCCTCCTCCTCCTCCTCCTCCTCCTCCTCATCCTCCTCCTCCTCCTCCTCCTCCTCTCCTCCTCCTCCCCCTCCCCTCTCCTCCCCCTCCTTCCCCCCCCCTCCTCCTCCTCCTCCTCATCCTCTCCGTCCTCCTCCTCCTCCTAGCTCCTCCTCCTCCTCATCCTCCTCCTCTCCTCTCCTTCCTCCTCCTCCTCCTCCCCCTCCCCTCTTCCCCTCCCTCCTCCTCCTCCTCCTCCTCCTCCTCCTCCTCCTCCTCCTCCTCCGGGGCTGCGGGATGGGCTGCGGGAGGGGGTGCGCTAGACGCTGCGCTGCGCTCCCCCGCTCCGCCTCCCGTCCCCTGCACGGACACGGAGCAGCTTCGGCTTCGCCTCGAGGCTCGATCCAGGACAAGGACGAGGGCAGGAGGAGGAGGAGGAGGAGGGAGGAGGGGGAGGGAGATGATGATGATGATGATGAGGAGGAGGAGGGAGAAAGGAGGAGGGAGAAAGGAGGAGGGAGCAAGAAAGAGGAGGAGGAGGAGGAGGAGGAGGAGGAGGAGGAGGAGGAGGAGGATGATGCTGATGATGAGGAGGAGGAGCAGGAGGAGGGGGAAGAGGGGGAGGAGGAGGAGGACCAGTGTAAACCCAAGAGTCACCAATGGTGTTGGAATAAACCCTCTCCCAAGCTCCCTTCTCATAGGCCCCTACAACGGTTCATCTCCATTGAGAGAACTGCCTCGTTGGAAGACAACCGTTTGAAGACTCTGAAGCATGCCAAAACATGGTTCTCGGGTATTTCAACGTCACGGATCAACCTGACTGCTGCGTCTTGACGATCCGGAATCGTGCCAGAACGCCATTTTGGAAGTTCAGCAACCCGCCTGCTCGACCTTGCCGCCTGGGTCCGCCTTTCCGACCCGCCCGTTTGGGTCTGCCCGCCCGATGTGCCCGTTTGGTTCTACCACGTGTTTTCTGCTCATAGCACCCCTCCTGCTATTTTATCTCGTTCTCCATCCTTCTCTTCTCCCTCCCTCTTCCATCTGTCCTCTCTTCCCTTATGTGAGGGGCTGCATTCAATGCACGTGGCAAGTAAGGAGTGGCATTTACATGGTGAGTGGCACGCGACCAGATGGAGAGAACAGCCTGCAAGTTATTGTTCTTGAATTCCCATGGGTGAAGAATAATTAGTGTTGACCCCCCCCCCTGCGCGGGAACCCGTATATGTTTTCGATTAAATGGTTTCTCTCGGGGTTCGCGCTATGTTGTTGATAAAGCAACGTGGCCACCACATTGGGCCCCTGGCCCCCCGCGTTACAAAACAACGGCTCCCGCCTGATTCTTCCTCACAAAGTATTCAAAACATGCGCTCTCGCGCGGGACTGCCTCACAATGTATGCAGGAATCGCGCTCGCGTGGGACTCCTTCGCAACTTATTCAGGTGCCGCGCCCTCGACACTCAGGAATCACGCACTCTGTGTGGGTTTCCGCACGATTGGTTTCGAAAGCTCGCTATCGCTCAAGCCTTCCTCGCGATTCATGCAGGACGCACGCTTGATCCACCCGCCTGTTCGACCTGGCCGCCAGGGCCCGCCTTCCCAACCCGCCCGTCAGGGCCTACCCGCCCAGTCTGCCCGTCTGGTTGTGCCATGTGTTTTCTGCTCTTAGCCCCCCTCGTGCTATTCTCTCTCGTGCACCACCCTCCTCCTCCCTCCCTTTGTCCCTTCTTTCCATCTGTCCTCTCTTCACATGCCTGAGGGGCTGCACGAAATACACGTTGCAGGTAAAGTAGATATACCCCCGAGGGGGTACGTTCGAAAACGAATAGAGCGGGTATCGAGGGTTTGGGATAGACGTGTTGAAAGGCACGCGAGGAGATTAGAGCGAACAGTCTTATACTGGTTGTGATTGCTGATGTTGTTGTTTTTTCCCAGCCATCCTGTGGTGTTGGGTCCTCGTTCTGAAGAGACGGTCCTCGCGTTCCCTCCCTCCTTCCTTCCTTCCTTCCTTCATTACTCCTCCTTCCTCCCTCCTCCTCCTCCTCCCCCTCTTCCCCCTCCTCCTTCCTCCTTGCGTTTGATCCACCCAGTACAGCGCTTCGTGGCCCCATAGGGAGCTCCACCGAAGGTTCCAGTGGGACCGACCACAGGCGTCATCCACCACCCAGCACAGCATTTCGTTGCCCCATAAGGGGGCTCCTCGGAAAGCCCCAGTGGGACCGCCCGCATGCGTCATCCACCACCCAGTACAGCGTTTCGTGGCCCCACAGGGAGCTCCACCGAAAGCCCCAGTGGGACCGCCCGCATGCGCCATCCACCATCCAGTACAGCGTTTCGTGGCCCCATTGGGAGCTCCACCGAAGGCCCCAGTGGGACCGCCCGTGTGCGTTATCCACCACCCAGTACAGCATGTCGTGGCCCCAGAGGGAGCTCCACCGAAGGCTCCAGTGGGACCGCCCGCATGCGTCATCCACCACCTAGCACAGCATTTCGTGGCCCCATAGGGAACCCCACCGAAGGCTCCAGTGGGACCGCCCGCATGCGTCACCCAGCACCCAGTACAGCGTTTCGTGGCCCCATAGAGGGCTCCACCGAAGGCCCCAGTGGGACCGCCCGCATGCGTCATCCACCACCGAGTACAGCGTTTCGTGGCCCCATGGGGAGCTCCACCGAAGGCCCCAGTGGGACCGCCCGCATGCGTCATCCACCACCCAGTACAGCGTTTCGTGTCCCCACAAGGAGCTCCACCTCAGGTCTCCGTGGCAGAACTCGCATGCCGGTCCAGTGGCGGAGTTCGCATGGCGCCGACTTTCGATTTTCAAAGGTTTTTCGTCGTATTCGACGTATTGAGGCCGCTTTCGGGCCGCGCATCCCGGGCGGGAGCCAGCCTGCTCGCTCTCTCTTTTCCGCGCAGCGGACGACCCGCGCGCGTCGCCGGGACCCCTTCGGGGCGACCAGCGCGCGTCGCGGGGATTCTGTGCGGCGCCGCGCCCGCAGCCTTGGACGCGGGCGTGCACGGGCAAAGAGGGAGAGGAAAAACGGGAAGGAAGCGGGCGCGATCCTCGTGAGAGGCGTGCCGACATGGGCGTCGACATTTATGCACATAGACTCACGCGCGCGCGGACTCATCCACAATCAGACTCACTCGCTTTCAGTCTCCCGCACACAGACCTTTCGTCGTCGCTAGCGTTGTGTGCCCCGCCACGCATGTCGGCACGCCCCTCACACGGTTCGTGGCCCATAGGGAGCGCGGGTGAAGATGATAATCATACTTGCGGTATTCGCAACTGCGTATGGTTGTGTCCTTCGCAAGGCTAATTCCCAACCGTCCTGTGGTGTTGGTTCCTCGTTTTGAAGGGACTGCGCCCCGCGTCCCTCTTCCTCCTCTCCTCCTCCTTCTCCCCTCCCTCCTCCCTCCGCCCGTATCCCCCCTCACTTTGGCATGCCCCTCACACGTTTCGTGGCCCCATAGGGAGCTCCACCGAAGGTTCCAGTGGGACCGCCCGCAGGCGTCATCCACCACCCAGCGCAGCATTTCTTGGCCCCGTAGAGAGCTCCACCGCAGGCTCCAGTGGGACCGCCCGCATGCGCCATCCAGCGTTTCGTGGCCCCATAGGGAGCTCCACCGAAGGCCCCCGTGGGACCGCCCGCATGCGTCATCCACCACCCAGCGCAGTGTTTCGTGGTTCCATAGGGAGCTCCACCGAAGGCTCCAATGTGACCGCCCTGCATGCGTCATCCACCACCCAGTACAGCGTTTCGTGGCTCCACACGGAGGTCCATGGAAGGCTCCAATGGGACCGCCCATGCGTCATCCACCACCCAGTACAGCGTTTCGTGGCTCCATTGGGAGCTCCACCGGAGGCTCCAGTGGGACCGCCCGCATGCGTCATCCACCACCCAGTACAGCGCGTCGTGACCCCAAAAGAGCTCCACCGAAGGCCCCAGTGGGACCGCCCGCATGCGTCATCCACCACCCAGTACAGCGCTTCGTGTCCCCGCAAGGAGCTCCACCTAAGGGCGCCGTGGGGGAACTCGCATGCTGGCCCAGTGGCGGAGTTCTCATGGCGCCGACTTTCGATTTTCGGAGGCTTTTCGTCGCATTCGACGTGAGGCCGTTTTGGGGCCGCGCATCCCGGGCG